AGGTGCGCGAAGATCGAAGATTCTTCGCCAAATGGAAATTGCTTCGCGAGTGCCACGTCAGTGTTTAGTGCCGCGAAGGTGCGAAGCTGCGAAGGTGCGAAGCTCTGTTAAGAACGGTCCTCAGGTTTGCTGACGCGTACGCACGCTATTGCAGAACTCAGTGACTGTGAGTGGAGGCATTGCTTAAGGCCTAATGGTGGTCCATGGAGTAGTCAACGATTTAACATCAGCTAACGCAATCGTACTCGCAAGCATGACGTGGAGCTACGTGGTAAATTTGGGCAGTACTGGTAGCAACTGTCGGGAATTGGCAAAGCTGCTAACCAGCGGCTATGTCATAGATCATCGTGTTTTAATTAATAGTTGTCCTACCGGTACGCATAGTTGCATAGTTGTAAGTTGAAGGGTGGCGATGCATAAATCGGACGTGATCTGCTAGCTAGTCTAAATACCTGTGGGGTTGCAGGGGCGGTGCGTTGGTTGCCGCCAAAAAGCAAGAGGCAGTAGGTTTCTTGGTAAATCATGAGCAGAGTGGGACAGTTTCGCAAACATGGTTCGATTCGGAGGACTGGGTGAGGGAAAAGGTGGATGCACCGTTCTGGTTGAGCTCTTGATGTTGGACACACATCAGATAAAGTAAGTAGCTAGATCTCGCCCACGGCGGGAAGGGAGCACCCGCAGGCTCCTCGAGCACCTCGAGCTGGAAGGGCGGCAACAAAGGGTGTTTTTGTTGTTTACTTCATCGTACCGAAAGGCAAAGGAACAAGCATGATGGCCCATCTAGAGCTGAGCGAGCCGACAACTCTGCGAGGCTGCGAGCGAGTCTCCAAACGTAAGAAACTAGCTATGGTACAAGTAGAGAGGATCCAGGGCGGGCCACCAACATTGAAGCAATGAAAACGAGCGAGAACGCGGCGCGGACAACCCCCCGTACGAAACGGATGAGGAAATGAAGTTTCGTGGCTAGCTAGGACACCTGTGTTTGCAATATGTACCTTCACCTGAAGAAATCTCATGCTTCATTTCTGCAGTCCGATCTACATGTAATAGCACTCTAGTTTCTCAATGCATGTGCCAACTCGGCGTGATTTGATGGACGGAGCGTGGACCTCGAAGCGTGGAATTCCCACGCCAACCCAATCGGCCCATCAATTTACTTGTAAAGGAGGTGATTGATCGACTCATAATCAGGCTTGGGAAGCAAAGCCTCTGTTCTGCTTTGGCTCACAGGAAGCAACGAAACAGAACGCCACCATGTCAGCTGCAAAGGAAATTGCCACGAAAATCGTGCGCCTTAACGTTGGTGGCACAATTTACAAAGTATCGCGGTCGCTCATCGAAACATACCCGGATACAATGCTGGCGAAGATAACCTCCAAGACATGGTAACACGACCCCAATAGTGAGGTATTCATCGACCGTGACGGCGAGCGCTTCCGATACGTTCTAGATTACATGCGCGACCAGAAAGCTTTTGTGGCCATGAACGTTTCCAAGGCCTCAATTATCAAGGAGCTCGAGTATTTTGGTTTCGAGAACGTGCCCGACAACGCGGTCGATTGTAGTGGCGCCAACTTGGAGGCTGCAGAGCACATGATCATGATACTGAAGGATCACAAAGCTGCTGCAGAAGACCTCACGGGCACTATCGCACGGATGGAGGAGACAAAGGACTACTCCGCCATAGCGCACAAATAATGCTTTCAAGACTATGCCACTACTGGTTCTCTTCGGATTACATTTCGCCGCGAAGCAACCGAAGAAAGAATCTACAAACGAGCTAGACGTGTTGTACCTGAGCGTTTCGACCAGTTTCTTGCAAAATATGGCTTCCAGTACTACTATGCTTCAAATCAGGTTTACAACCAGAATCATGCAACACACGAATTCACAACCATAACCTTACGGAAGATTAAATAAACTTCAATGACTCCAAGAGAAACAGGCGGCACAACTTTTGCGAATGATGCAGTGATGTAGAATGAGAAAAAGCTCAAACTGGTATGAGATTGTTTGTGTTGTCCTTGAAGTCTTGAGTAGTGTGGTACCAGTTAGCCGTCACTATGCGGGATCTACGGCAACCTTCTGGGGATGTGCAATTGATGAACAGGCACAGAGATCATAGTATCCTAGTAGGGAGCTCATAGTGCATAGATCAAAGGGTACTACTAGCTAGCTATTACTTGATTTCCAAAAACAAATAGCTGCAATCAGGAGCTGCTGCTGATTGCATGTGCACCTCAATCAATCTTGATTGAAATTCTGTCTTCTGGTCTTTTTGGTCATGTTAGAGGCTGCAATGGACCTGCCAGTGCCCCAGAATGGACTCCAGGTGATGCTGACCTATCCACAAGTACTTTGATCTGATTCCTCAGCTCCTTGAGTTCTGATTGCATTTGTGAGTGCATGGCAGCAATCACATTTTGTGTTTCCACCTGCTGCTCTTCTTCTCCTCTCACCGTCTTGTTACTGACTTCAATCCCCCCATCATTGACAATCAGGTTGTGGATGCAACTGTTAGTTGTTGGCGCTTCAGTATCTGTGAATGGTTCACTGAGGATAGGCATGCTGCTAGCGATGCCATCAACTATTGCCTTGGTTGCTTGCTCTGCTCTCTTTTTCCCATGTTTATCATACACTGCAGTGACATGGGCAATGACTATTGCAATGATCATCAGGCCCCAATGGCAAACAAAAGTCCCAATCATCTGCTCCAGGGTAAGTGTTCTGGCATCCACACCACCCGGTCCCATGGCTGCCACAGCTCCACCTGCAGCACCCTTTCCACCTGATTTGAGGAGCCGATGATGACTGCCAGTATTCTTGAGGCTTGATTCTGGAATTTGGTAGTCTTCCTGCAACTGCCTGCTCCGGGCACCTATATCTTCAGCAGGGTCTACATCACTTGATGCTGGATCATCAAAAACACCTGGTTTGTAGGTGAGGCAATCAATGGTTTGGGTCCTTGCAAACTCATGCTCCCAAGCTTGTTCAAGAAATCCATCCTCAATCATGTCTCGGACGAGAAGGTTGAGGACATCACGGATGAATCCAGTACACAACTTTCCTGAATCAATAGTAGTGATGAATCCACCCCCAATGTCCAAAACCTTGTAGGCGCCATCTCCTACCAAGAATAAATCACAGTGTGGATTGTATTCCTTGATACCTTTGTACTTGTTCCAGCTGGCCATGCTTGTTAACATATAATCACAGTCTCCATTGGACAAACCTTGATACAATTCCAGTTCAGAGTTTTTTGGAATACGCACTGCCGTCCTGTATGTGTCGCGAACGAATTCGTCAGAAACTGTACCATCCCAAGTGCAAAGCTTTTTCCCAAAGACTGCAATCTCTTCCATGGTTTGAGGCCCATAGTGGACCTCACGATCCAACAGCAGAGATGCAAGGTTTGCAGTGTATGTTGCTGTCATGACCAAAGCCCAGATTGCCATGGATATCCCAAAAATTCGACTGGCCAGTGACTTGGGTTGATATTCATAGGCCTGAGTGGCATTGATAAAGCTGAGGTAGGCATTCCCGAGCCACCATTCCCAGGCAGATCTGTCATTCCGTTCATCAGCATACCACTCCAAGACTTGATAAACACCACCACTGAGGAGAATAGTAAATAAGGTCATAATCCACACAGCAGTGTCATACGGCTTGAGCCAGTTAAAGAATGATGAGACTGAAACTTTCTTGCTGGTTTGTTTATCCAATGCATCCCTTGTAATGACAACAAAACTGGAATCTAGAAACTCCTCAACGAAGGCAACACCATCATTCAATCTCTCACGGCTCGCAACCCACCAGTCTGGGTAGAAGGGTAACAACATCAGGCTTTCAGAAAGAAACAAACAAAGTATAATGAAACACACCTGACTTGCTTACCAGCAACAAAATCATAAGTTTTGATACTCCAGTGAAGTGTCTGATTCCAATCCATGTCATAGTCTTTTGGATCATAGTAAACACCAAAGCTATTGCGCCATGTGAATCCTCCTCGTCTTCCCAATTCATCCAAGAGGACCGTGACCAAACCAGGCTCATTTCTATCAATGCCCTTCTCTGGATCATAGTTGAAGTATCCTTCAGGGTAGTAACCCAAGCCTATGTTCACCTGCAGGCCTTCAAGGGCATGTCGTAACTCAACTCTCTTGTAGTAGAAGTCTTCAAATCTATCACAAACAGATTGACGATGGGTTACATTGGGAGTGCCTTGAGTGGTTGTGAAGAATGCCTTCTCCCCTCCAAAGGCAGTGGCTGTGCGAAACACCGAGAGGAACTCAATTAGCAGTATGGCAACACCCAACATGATTCAGTTTGAGACAGGTGGCTTGTGATGAATTCTTTGCTCTTGCTTGTGGCGGTTGTGGTTCGATTCGATTCAGTGCTTGCGTCCAACCTTCAGATTGGAGCCTTCGCTGATGATGCGCTGATGAGCAAATCCAATCGAATCACAATAGCTAGTCTATCACAATCATCCATCGTTTCTGGAGTGGAGAGTGGAGCATGCTTACCACTTACCGGTACCACAGCTCTTACCGGTATGATACTACTATTATCAGGTACTAACATGTAGCTAGCTAGCTCTTCCTTTTCTTCTAAGTGTAACTGCTCCTTCTGGCTTTTGTAAACAACCTCCCCAGTTGTGCTCCCCACTCTAAAAGCCCTTTCACTCCAGCTCCTCCAGAGATTTATTTGTCTTGTGATGTTTGGAAAATTATGGAATAATGGTCGCCTCTAATTTATGTCAGAATGCGTAGATTTGTTAAATCTAATTGTTCTCCTATTACTCTGGAGTAGTTTCTGAGCAGTGTTTTGCAAGAGCAGATTCAGTATGTCTTTTTAATGCTCTTATCCACTCATTCTGACGTTATTACAACATACCTTCCCCTTCATTAGATTCTAAACAATTACCAGGTAATTTATTTGTAAAAATAGAATGTCAGAAAGTTAGTTTATGCAAGTGAGTATGGACCGGTACTCTCTAGAATGTCCCTTTATCTAATAACTGATGCCTTCAATAATTCCAACATTCCCTTGGCTTCGAACACTCTCTTGAGAAACATGGAAATGGTGGTAGTTGCGGTAAAATCATTTGACAGCAGTTTATGTTAAATAGGTAATAATGATACTGTATTACCCAAACTAGACTATTAATAATGCTCTAACGCCGTCCCACTGACCACTGAACTTTATCAATCGTGGGATGATGACTTGAACTTGTCTTGCCCAGCTTTTTACAGAGGAAAACACCCCTTCTTTGGGTTTCTATGGCGGCACTGTTAGCCACACGCAACACGACGTCGACAGCACCACGCAGCAACACTCTAGCAACTCTGAAAACAGCAAGAGAAACAAAAGAGTCGGAGGCTCGGAGGCATCGTGGCAGCTTGCTATCGGAACAACCCCACCCAAACCCTCCAACAGACCCAAGATGTTGGCCCTGTACATACATTCACTGCTTCTCCTCTCGATCCTCCACTCCGCCGCTGCCATTGGAGGAGAAAAGGCCTTCTTCTCCACAGAGCTAGGAACTCCCAATGTGACACACCGTCAATCCGTTTGTGATCGATTTGAGGACTTCTACTTTAATCGAGTGGATCTGCGAAATGCCCTTGAAGGCCTACAATTACATGTAGTTGTTGGTAACTATCCAGGAGCGTACTTCAATTATGATCCAGAAAAAGGTATTGACGAAACTGAGCCTGGCGTGATTCCGGTTATCCTGGATGAATTGGGCAGGAGAGGAGGATTCACATGGCGAGATAGCTTTGGCATTTACACAGACCCAGGTCAACATAACATGACCTGGAATGAAACACTTCACTGGACCATGGATACCTATGATTTAGTTGCTGGTAAGTAGCTTGCTGGAACTTGGCATCTTTCTTCCCGTTCTCCTTTCGGCTTGTTGTGCTCAACGTTTCGCGACTTTCTTTTGGCAACCAACTGAATGAATTGAATGGATAACAGATTGGTGGACGAACAGTCGTGAACGAATGCATGATGGTGTAGTTTTCATTGAAGAGTTCGTCGACTCCAGTTTTGTTGTAGTGACCAGGGATGCTGTCTTTGAGAGAAGCAGCAGTGAAGTCACCATTTCCTCATTCTTCAATTGGCTCAAGCCCTACAGCTGGGAAGTGTGGGTCATGACTCTCTTCACCATTTTGCTGAGTGGGGTTGTATTCCAGGTTCTGGAGTGGTATGCTGGTGAACGGGATGACAGATCTGCCTGGGAATGGTGGCTGGAAAATGCCTATCTAAGTTTCATCAATGCCACTCAAGCCTATGAGTATCAGCCCAAGTCGTTGCCAAGTCGACTCTTTGGCATCAGCATGGCTATCTGGGCTTTGGTCATGACGGCCACCTATACTGCAAATCTTGCATCTCTCCTTGTGGATCGGAAAGCCCCCGGACCACAGACCATTGAAGAAGCTGTGGTGTATCAAAATAAAATATGCACATGGGAAGGCACTCCAACAGATTTCTTTGTCCGTGACACCTACAAGAATGCCGTCCGTATCCCCAAAAAGTCAGAACTGGAATTACACCAAGGACTGCTCAATGGAGATTGCGATTTCATTCTATCAAACCTTCATAGCTGGAACAGAAACAAGGTCATAGGAGAATACAACCCAACTTGTGACCTTTACTTGCTAGGGGATGGGAGGAAGGTCGCTGAAGTTGGATCAGGATTTGTTGTGAACGCTGACTCGGGAACACTTTGCACTGGATTTATCCGTGACGTTCTTAACCTGCTGATGAGAGACATTATTGAAGATGGCTTCCTGGAGCGGGCATGGGAAAATGAATACAGGAGAACCCAAACAATTGACTGCCTCACCTACAAACCAGGCATGGATTTCAGCAGTCCAAGTGGCAACGATGTAGATTCAGGCACACGACAATTGCGGCAAGGGCACATCCAGTCTCAGTCATACCCTGGTGGCTCAGAAGGTTGGCGCAGGATGCTCAAGGCAGGTGGAAGAAGTGGCGGTGGTGGAGCCGTGGCAGCCATGACACCAGGTGGCGAGGATGCTCAAAAACTCACCCTGGAACAGATGATTGGGACTTTTGTTTGTCACTGGTTCCTGATGATCATTGCAATAGTCATTGCCCATGCCACTGCAGTGTACGATAAACACGCGAAAGAGAGAACAGAGCAAGCAGCCCAAGCAATCGTCGAGCATGGGAAAAAGAGAACAACAGAAGCAACCAAGGCAATAGTCGGGACAATCTCTAGCCACGTGCCTCATGTACATATGCCTCATGTGCATATGCCTTTCCACTACCAACCAGATACAGACACCGAAGCACCAACAACCAGTTCTAGCAAAACCAACAGTGATGATGATCCTGATCCCAGTAAAAACACCGGCAACAAGATGGTGGCCCGGAGAGAAGTGGACGAAGACACTACAAAGCAAATTGCTGCCATGCGATCCGAAATGCAATCAGAGCTGCAAGTACTCAAGAATCAAATCAATCATCTGGTCAACATATCATTAGCGTCGGATGCATATATGGGACGTTCGGCACGTTCCCAGTACCAAAGTCAGGGTGACGAAGCTGGCATGGACGACTCAAATGTCAGCACTGCCAGCATGATGCGTGGTCGCATTCCCTCATCGGAGCGGGCTGCGGGGTACCGAGCATAGCTACTTTTGGAATCAATCCAGCCCGTTTTCCCTTGTTCGATGGCGGAAAATCTAATGTTCTGTGGTGAGCGTAGAAGTTGGCCGAATTTAGCTCTGCGGGTAGCTAGCAACCGTCTCCCTCGTGAACTGGGCCAACAATCCCAGTACACGTTGTCTTTTTGCATCGCTACTGAAGTGTATAGGGCACGGCCAACAGGTTCCACCGGTACTACCGGTATGCTTCCTCAGCATCCAAAGCGGAAGTGAATGGTACCGTATCCAAGCTCGCGGCGTTTTTTCGGCCAGCTTTCAAAACTGTTGAGGCAGATCGTCGATCGGGGAAGAAGCAAAAAAACAAGCATTCATGTCATGCCGAATCAAACTACAACCTGACTCTGAAGAGTGGCGTAATACGTACTGCCGACTACGACAGGAATTTCATTCAATCGTACGGTAGAATTGGATGCAATCGGCATTATTTTAAAATAGGAAATGCATGTAATTCAAAGCTGGTCGCTACGACCAATACGTAGGCGGTATGAAACAACGACAGGAACCGTGGAAGCACAGAAAAGGCGCCATCTTGGTTCCCCTTTTCATATGTAGATACGGTAGACACAATCAGAGAGATGAGCAGTGACGAAAACTCGGTGCGTCCAGCTTCCTGTGAAACTTGTTGGATTCTGCAAGCCCTGCTGCTTCGAAAGTGCTTGCCTTTTATATCAGCTTTCACGCCTGCTTCGATACAGCTATCCATACCAACCTTGCCTTTTAAGTAAGCTTATCACATCTGCTCCGCTTAGGTTACCGTACTGATACTTCCAACTTATCTGGATGACAGTCAGAGTGAAGTCGAGTTCGAGTCTCAGTCGAGGAGACGAGGGAAGACGAAGACTTTGAATGGTTCACTCCCACCACGATTGCATTGACTAAGTCGACTAAAATCTGGATCTTTGGATCTTTCTTGCTGACTGACGCAGCTCTGCCTTTTCCTTTGACCATGAACCCTTGCCATCATCATGACATTGTGCTCTTCTGCTTGCTCAGATCGGCAACCTACCAACCAGTACAGAAACCAACAACAATGATAGTGTCTACTATCCGAATTTCTGCTTTGGCGGCGCTGTTCACGACGGTCTGCAATGGATTTTCTGCTTCCTTGTCTAATAGTAGGCAAAGACGGAAACCTGTAGGGTTGTCCGCGCAACGATTGATTTGCGAGTTTGAGGCTTCCGACTTTTCCCTGGCCACGGGAGAATGGCCGTACACAACGCAAGATCTTTCTCGACTGGACAATTCCAAAGATGATTTCTTCTACGACACTCCCAGGTTTGTCACACACATTGACGACCGTGCCATTGAGTCTCTGACCAACTTTTATCGAGAAGAAATGGCAGCCGTGGCTCTGAAAAAGAAGACTAATGTGGACGTCCTCGATTTGTGTTCGAGTTGGATCTCTCATCTGCCCGACGACGACATTGTACCGTTTGGCAAGGTCGTTGGCATTGGCATGAATCAACAAGAGCTGGAAGCCAATAAACAATTGACAGACTACTTTGTGCAGGATTTGAATGAGAATCCGAAATTGGAGCAATTGGAGGATGCATCCTTTGACGTGATTTGCAATGTGGTGTCGGTAGACTACTTGACCAAGCCAAAGGAAATATTTCAAGAAATGCATCGGATTTTACGACCCGGTGGATTGGCCCTCATGAGTTTCTCCAATCGATGTTTTCCGTCAAAGGCTGTCAATATGTGGTTACAGGCTGATGATATTGGTCGCATGACCATTGTGGGATCGTACTTTCACTATACTGCCAAGTGGAATCGCATTGAAGCCTTGGATATCCTCCCCGAAAAGGTGGAACGACCCAAGGCACCCAGCATGACGGAAATTCTTCAAAACCCGTCCAGTGGATTTGCTTGGATGACAACGGCAGCTGCAGTGCAAAAACAGAATACCGGAGATCCCATGTTTGTCGTCAAGGCTGTAAAGTAATAGGACATGACAACTACATATGATACAATTTACTACAACTATTTCCGTTTGCCCTTGTTGGACCACCAAACTCCGCACAATCTGCCTTTGCTTCGAAACCGGCGGCTTCCTCATACTGACCAGCAGCACAAATGACGAAGATTTGTACTAGTCTACCATATCTTTTTTTGCCTTCGACTGCGTCTTTTACTACATTGAGTTACCGCACTAAGCCAGGTAGGACATCCAAACCATACCTAGGAGCCGATGAGCATTGAGATCCGTTACAAGCAAGAGCGACATGTACCGTAGAATGCATCCTGCATATCTTCTATGTTGCTCACTACACCACCAGCATGGATAGGGCTGGCCTTCTGGCTTCCCAGCTTCATCTCGCTCACGCAGTAGCAGCTGTCGGCTAGCTAGAGGAAATCAATTACTACAACATGTAGCCGCAACGCGGATTAGGTCCCTCCGATTTTCAAGCTGGTGAACGATTGGGGTTTTAGTGGTATGAAAAGCTTGAAAATAAGGAAAACATCCTGGCAGGCAGCAATCGAGGTGGTACATTCTGTAGTGTTGATCACATTCTATCGGAACGTCGAATGCATGGTTGGTTACAGGTCAGGCAGGTCTAGCTAGACAAAACTTTAGTAGAATTATGAAGAATAACAAGCGCAGCATTTACTGGCAAATCAAGACTCAAAACCCAAAAACGTATCGTGGGCTAGCAGCAGGAAAGACCATCACACAAAGCTATCAATCCTTTGTTCGGTGACGGCTTGCATTTTTGTTGTTGTTGGTGGTGGTCTAATCCTGTTTGCAAAAGACTGCTGGAGCATCCAGCGGATTTCGAAGCCACCCCTTCATGGCATCACACGTACGTGTTCCGACCATGACTTCTCGAATCATATCCAACAATTTCGCCGTGACGGGTCCTCCGGGCAACTGTTGACCGTGTTCAAAGACCTTTTCAAAGGCTTCTTCACCTTCCCCCGTCGCAATGCTGCCAATGCAGGCAATTTCGGCAGCGGTTCCGGTACAAAAGGCTTCGGTGGCATTGGCAAATTCGCTCACCTTGACATCTCGTGAGGATGCTTGGACGTTAGTTTGTCCGGTACTGGCTTCCATGGCCGGTTTTAGTTCGTCGGCAAAATTCTCAATCATTGCCAGCACGGATTCTCTCGTGACTCCAGGCAAAATGGTGCCTCGTTCTAGCGCCGGAGTGACAATTTCTCCCGTGTTCAATACCAAAAAGACATTGGCGGCGGACATTTCTTGCAAGACGGCATCCCCGAGTGCTCCACTTGCATAAGTTTCCAGTTCGAGATAGAGATTGTCGTGAAAGCCCTGTTTTTTGGCGTCCATGAGTGGTTTGAGTGCCGTGGCATAGTTTCCGGCGCATTTGGTGGCGCCCATTCCACCACGGGCGGCACGACATCGTTTGGTTTCCAAATGGAGCTTGAGGCCGCCTAATTTTTTTGCAATAGATAGGAATTGGGAGAGAAAAAGGATCGAACAGGAGTTAGTTAGAGGTGAATGCATCAATAGTATAATAGTAGCAGGAGTACTAATAGCACCATAGTGTTTACATACCTGTTGCGGACTTGAAATAATTTCCGGTTGGTGACACGTAAAAAAGCATACTAAATTCCTTGGAAGGATACAATCCCAATTGTTGTCCACTTCCCAACAACATGGGACGCACGTACAATTTCATGCCTTCTCCATGAGGCGGAATCAAATGTGAATTTTCCATGACGGCGAATTGAATGGCTCTCATGAATAGTTCAAAGGACGGTTTGGGCAAACAGAGTTGATCGGCACCGTTGCAGAATCTGGCGTAATTTCGATCGGCACGAAAGACAATGGGAGTTCCATCGGCTTTGCGGTAGCATTTGAGTCCTTCCCAAATGGTAGTTCCGTAGTTGAGAGACGTGGTGGCTGGAGCCAATGGAAGAGTTCGGTCCGAATACTTGTAGAGGGAATCAAACAAGGATCCGGCATCCTTGGACAAATCGTAGTGCGCTTGAGTCCATTCGCCTTCGGTAGTCAAATGCAGGTACTTGTGTTCCTCCGGGAGATTCAAATTCCAAGGAAGAGAGCTAAAGTCAACTCCATCTTTGGGATCTTGGACTGTCTTGGTGGCCATGGTGCAGATTAGATAGCTAGATAGATAGATTGACTACGAGTAAAGTAGCTTTTGGTAGACACAACAGATACAACAGCAACGGTTGCAAAATTGTGAGCGGTCGTTGGCTTTTGGAAGGAAGGATCTTTGTCGAGAGGTCGATCTTTTCACAACTGACGTACGTGTACGTGAATGAGAATGACGTCATCGATTCGAATCCAAAATGGAGAAAACAAAACGCAACAATTGTTGTTGAAGTGGAGGCAACCCAAACCTCTTCCTTCATTTGCAAAAACCTCTTGCTCTTGGTAGAGAGCTCGCAACCTTCATTCCATATATATATATCACTGCAAGTTTAGTCATTTTGCTTCAGTTAGGTGTTTAGTTGCAGGTCTTTTACCCATCTTGTCGGCAAGGAAGAGTATGTTTGGAAACAAGAGTGTCCTAACCGACAAAACCTCCAGAAGCACAAAAACTACAGGAAGATTTCATTTTCAATAGTGTTTGTTGTTTCAAGTTGGAGGTCTTCTTCTGGAGTGCCACCACAATCATGAAGCCAGATTGGTGCTTGTGGCCAATGCCTAAACTAAAAAGGAGAGGTCAGCTATGTCCGAAATCCGCTACGTTTTCTAATCTCGGTTCAATTTCTGCGGCGAGAGAAATTGGAGACATTTTCGCACTTTTTAAATCTACAGACCACTGTCAGACACTCTGGGTTATTTATTTGACGACAATCCCCTGCATTCAAACAGATAACAGAAAGAAGTTAGGCGCTGAAATTGAAGGAGAAAAACTGCGGGCATCAGTTTGTCTGTGAATTTTCTCTGGATGGGTTTTCCGGGAGTTTGCGGATGGTGTCAGCTCCCACTATACACCGTACTAAATATGCATACATCTAGCTAGCTAGCTGATGGCACCCAAGAGACGATGGTACGAATGAATTTTCCATCAGGCTTGCTCAAAGAGAGAAACTTCTTCAAGATCGAATTTGATAGGTGACCACCCTCATCTTCTTCAAAGTCATTGATTGCTACGGTTCACTTGCTGTGACGAAAATTCAATCAACTACTTGGTTCCATATTGGAAGATCTTCTCCCTTGAAGAATACTTTTGGACATAGCCAGGACAGCCATCAAGAAGAACCTTGCCACGTGCCATGTCCTATTTGGAGGCAGTCTTATGCATAGACAGGGCTATTTGATACCTAAGTGCTACAGCACTTGTAGATTGTTGGTTCAAGGTGTTGGTCGGTTCCACAATGCATTCGACTGGTGCCGAAGATAATGATAATGCCCCTATGCTTCGTCTGCGACGGTAGATTCCGACGCGTCGCTGCTTCCCGCTCTTTTAAGCATATCATTTGTGCCGTCGTCCGGTGGATGGTAAATATTCATCGCAATGAAGACGTTTTCTAGATTCAGGATTCCCTGCACCCGAACAGACACTCGCGCATCATCAGTCCCCACAGCAGTGGGTTCCGCGATAGGAATAGGAATCTGCACATATGCACGATCTCCGTCGCCGCCGGCTAAATGTGCTCGATCCACAGGAGGAGGAAGACGCTGTTCCCCGTCCTCTTCTTCCTCTGGTGTGCGCTGTACCAACGCTGCATCATTCCGGTCCCATTCCTTGAGAATGTCCACACGGAGGTTACGCATCAGGAATAATGCCATTGGATCCCAGGCTTGGGCGCCGTAAATTGCTTGGAGCAGCCCATCCACATTAACACCGTCCTGACCATTTGCTTCCAACAAACGGGTTGTAAGAGTATCGTCGTCAAAGCCAAACAAAAACTGAAGAAAGCGGTCTTATGGGGTGTACGTGTCCGATTGTTTCAATGCAGTCAGAGCAGTCTGCATGAACTCCATCTTGTACTTCCTGTGATCTTTCTTTTCGCCTGTTCCAAACTCTGTCAGAAAACGATCGAATGCATCAAGCGTGGGGCCCACCTCTTGCGCCACAGAAAGGGCCATAGCAACATTTGACCAATAAACAGGTTGCGACCCAAGAATTCGGTCTCGCTTCTCCCTTCCCATCCGATTCAGAAAGCCAAAGAAGAGCTCCGTTTCCTCGCGATTCTTCAGCTTAGCTTCGTCTTCTTCCATTTTTCGTTTTCGTCTTAATGCCTGATATATAATAACACAACAACAAAACAAAAACAAAGAAATAATTGTTCAGTAGCGTTTCGCGATGAAAAACTTGCTCGCAATGGCGACCAATACAATTGATTCAAATACATTTGCCTTCTTCCGCTCCTTCCTCCGTTGATCGTCCAAGGCCTCTTTGTGTACTTCAAATGCCTCGTTCACAGCAAATCTAACCCTCGGAGACCTTGCCATCGTAGCGAGGCTAACTGTGGTGGTTGACATAATGCGACAATTCAGACAGCAACTGATCACAGTTTTTGAGGAGATGCTTTCTGAAGAGGTGTGTGGGAATGAGACCTGCCAGCGCGGAGGCTTTTCGGTGACGATGCGATCGTGATATCGTGATCCGTTGAAGTGTTTTTTTTTTGTACACATCTAACTAAGAGGCTCGACGCGGTGGTGGGAGGGCATGCGCTCATCGTGGGGACTAGCAAAGGCTTCCAGGTCAAGTCACGAATGGACTCAGAAACAGTCCCGAATCTTCCTGTGAAGACCAGAGAAGAACAGAGTGGAAGCACGTTCTGAATTGAAACGTTTCGCTTCGCCTCACACGAGGCCAAACCCACAACGCCCACAACAGCATCCACCATCGATACGGGTATCCAAGGTCCACACCTCTTCCCAAGGTCAACTCTTCCCACAAAAACAAAAAATAACAAAAGCAACAAAAGCGAAACACAAGAATAACAAACAAGCAAACCAACACATCGTCATGACCAACCAAACTATGACTACCCTCTGCCGTGGCTACTACTGCCATGCCCCGTCCGCCCGCTCCAGGGTGGACCGGGAATAACGGTTGTCGTCAAGGGCAAATCAACTGTAACAAGGGGCTCGAAGGCTGCGAAGGAGGAAGCCAAGCGGATCGTGGTGATTGATCCAGACAAGGTCAAACCCAACTCGGAAGCCTTTCACTATTTGAAGAGGAATGCCGGCGGATGTGGAAAGCCCTGCATTCAAATTGGATCGGACAAGAAGGTCACTGTCGCCGAAGACGCTTGTCCTGTCTGCGTGAATCGTTGCAAGCAGTGTCCCGGCGATGCGGTCTCTGTGGTCAAACTACCTACCAATTTGACCACCAACACCACACACCGCTACGGTCCCAACTCCTTCAAGCTCCACGGATTACCGGTTCCGCGACCCGGTCATGTGCTGGGCTTGTTGGGCTCCAACGGTACCGGCAAATCGACGTGTCTCGATATTTTGAGCGGAAAGCTCAAACCCAATCTTGGAAACATTGATGACAATCCTCCCGATTGGGCTTCAATTATTACTCATTATCGTGGATCCGACCTTCAAAAGTACTTTCAAGGAATCGTGCAAGACAATCTAACAGTGGCCGTCAAGCCGCAGCTGGAGACCGGTTTGGTGAAACGTCTCCAAGGCAAGCAGGTACGGGCGCTATTGGAAGCGAGAGATGAACGTGGTAGGATGGACGAGTATGTGAAGGAATTGGAACTCGAACATTTGATGGACCGCCAGGTGGAAGAGCTGAGTGGCGGCGAACTCCAACGATTCGCCACTGCCTGTGTTCTTGGTCGTGACGCTTCCGTCTACATGTTTGACGAAGTGACTTCATTCTTGGACATTAAGCAGCGTCTCAAGGTTTCCAAACTCATCCGCGCGTTAGTACATGAATCTCCTGAAAAGTATGTCATTGTGGTGGAACACGACCTTGCCATTTTGGATGCCATGTCCGACTATGTGCAATGTCTCTATGGAAGTCCGGGAGCGTATGGCGTTGTAACTGGACGCAGTCGAGTCCGAAATGGAATCAACCAGTTCCTTGCTGGTTACATCCCAGCCGATAATATGCGGTTTCGAGACCATGAGCTGACGTTCAAGGTTGCCAGCAGTGACCTCTTGCCGGAGAGGGAGGAAGGTGTCGCTCTGGAAGCTGCCGACTCGCCCAAGACTGGAATCTTTGAGTACCCTGCCATGAGTTATACTCGAGGCGAAGAGGCCGGCTTTACGCTCCATGTTGAGGCAGGTGCCTTGCGAGAAGGAGAATGTGTTGTATTGATGGGCGAAAATGGAACTGGCAAGACCACCTTTATGGAGATGTTGGCGGGTAACCTGCAGGATCAATCCACCGACAGTCTGGCTTCTTTTGGAGTCTCTTACAAGAGACAAGGATTGTACCCCAAGCTGCGTCGCTTTCAAGGGAACGTCCGAGCCTTGCTGGAAACGAAGATCAATGCAGCTCTGTCGGATCGTTTGTTTCGTCTCTTGGTGCTGAAACCCCTCTCGATGGACCGAATCCAAGACCTTCCCGTAGCCAGTTTGAGTGGTGGTGAGATGCAGCGTCTTGCCATTACTCTCTGCTTGGGTCAACCAGCACAGTTCTATCTCATCGACGAACCCAGCGCTGGCTTGGATTGCGAACAGCGTGTGAACGCGGCCAAGGTCATGAAACGGTGGGTTGTCAACCATCTCGGAAAGACGCTTCTTTTGGTGGAACATGACTTTGTCATGGCTTCTGCCATGGCGGATCGAGTGGTAGTATACGAAGGAAACCCAGGCGTCGAGTGTACGGCTCGTGCTCCGACCGGTGTGGCAGAAAGTTTCAATCGATTCCTCAAGATCCTGGACGTAACCTTTCGTCGTGACCCCACCAACTTTCGTCCTCGTGTGAACAAGAAAGGTAGCCGTATTGACAAGGAGCAGAGAGCCAACGGAGACTACTACAAACTGGTAACGGAAGAAGAAGAAGCCTAAAGAGCAGAGAGCCAACGGAGACTACTACAGTCGTACAAACTGGTAACGGAAGAAGAAGAAGCCTAAAAGGTGAAGGATGAAGGAACGGAGACAACAAATAGGTGAGCAGTGAAGTTGCGATCTCTGATCTCTGTCGGGGGTAGCATAGAGCCACAAACAAGATCAAGAAGGCTAGCTAGAGCTCTCGACGTCTATTTATTTGTAAAAGAAAATTGAAGTAATTCGTCTTGAGGGCTACTTGCACATCTTTTGTAGGTTTGCTCGAGAAGTAGCCAGCCATGAGGCCACCCACAGATTTCGCGCCGACTGTGACCGTGCCTTTCTCCTCCCTTCCTACGCAGGCTGTCCTGTGGTCCAAAGAAGTTTGTTTGTTGCTTTGCTCTGGCCAGTGGTTAGATGCGTCCTTGGTTTATTCGTACTTTGCCGCTCTTGGCCAGGCCAACCCTTCGTGGATTCTGGCAACAGGTTGTTCCGGAGCTCATCAGTGCGCTGGGAACTAAGGTGTGGAGTCTGATGCTGGGGACTGCAGGGAGCTAAAGGGGGCTAGACCTAACGGTGGTGGTCAACCTGTTGGGCATTGTGGAATACCAGCATGCACCCAATGCGAAGATTCGATTCCAATCTTGGTTCTTTCCAGAACACTTCTGAAACAGGGGAAAATGATGCGCCTGTATTTAGGAAGGGATTTCCTTTTTTGGGTTGGGCTGTTGTGGTACTGTACTCGGTACTGTACGGACCTGGTACCGGTACCAAAACAGCAAGAAGTTGAGTATTAATAAAACTCAAGTAAAGTTTTAGAAACCTCCCAAAAACCAGGATAACCATCGATGAGGAGCCAAAACGCCAAAACACCTTTGCGGACCAACCAAGCTCAGAGGGAGGGCAACAGAGTCACTTAGTCTTCCTACTGGAACCAAGCTAATGCAACCTCAGTCGAGAGCAGAAAGGACGATCTTCAGCTTTCAGGTTGCGACCCAATTTCTGAAGTTGATGGTTGATGGTGGTTTAGAGTGGAGAAGATATCCACCACAGCACACGGAAGCCAGTTCTGAAGTATGATAGTCAACAGACCACAGTTCCGAATACTCCGATGAGAACAGAAGGTACTTCTCGATCATTCTTGCAGGGCATAACCCATACCGGTACTAGCAACCGAAGGGGAGTAGAAAATGGTTTAGTTGAGCTTATCCACCGCTTCGATTGGCTTCAGTTGGTGATGGTAGCTTCTCCCACAGCAAAGAGGTGAGGATCTGTCGCGGGGAAACCAAACCAGCAGCCTCTCCCGAGCATCCTTTGCACCTGAGAAGATCAAGTTTACACAGGTGTTTGAGTCGAGGTCATCGCGAGTCAGAGAAGCAACACCCGCTGTGTTCGCTTCCGTCGTCTATGTCGGTTGTAGTGTGTGTGGAAAAGGCAGTGCAGGCAGCTTGGCCTCATAAAATACTATCTCGCACTTCATTTCTTCTTCCAATTTTTTTTCAAGTTTTAGTCTCATCAGATAGATTATTCAAGCCCTGATCACCATGAAGATGTTTACACACTTTTTCTCTGCACCAAGCTCAAAGGAGAAACCACACCATCATGGTGATAAGACAGTTGCAAGTGAGGCAAGCGGAAGGACTCACAGCAGCCACAGCAGCAAGAAGTCCCACGGTAGTGGCGGGCACAAGGCATCGTCAAAGTCACTGAAGCAGGTGAAGGAGCATGAGCTTCCAGAGGAAATCTGGCATGCAAAGCCCGTCAAGGTTAAGATAGTGGAGGACTGGATCAAGAATTCCAACAGGCACAGGAGTGACAAGCTCCTAGAAGCCTTTGCTTCTGGAAGAAGCAAGGTGCACCTTGAGGACGGGTTTTCAACTCATGCCGAAACCTTCTGTGATGGCATGCAAAACATCTACGAGGCATTCCCTGATTTTGCATTTCACTATGATTCCATTGAGCAGGAAAACAGCACTACAGTTGCCGTTGAGGGACTCGTTGCCTCTGGAACTCACACTGGGGCGCCCTACACCATCGACGCCAAACACTTCCCTGCCATTCCGGCAACAGGCAGGCACGTTATCAACGATGAGGAGAGGTTTGTATTCGTCTTCACAGATGACAACAAGATCAAGAGCTTTGCGGTCATTGGCTTTGGGAATGTCACGGGTCCACCTGGATTATATGAACAGATTGGTGGCAACGTCTAAGGAGGCTGGGAAATAGAGTTGAGTCCACCAAAGGTAGACCGTTTCGCTTGATTCCAGAGATGATTTCATATTCGCCGCACTGGCCACCGGAATCCATAGTAACTGCATAGTAGCAACGTTCTTTCCATTACAATCGGTACAGCAATAGTCAATGCACTGAGCTGTCAGCTGATAAGGGAAAGCCAGAGGGGGGGGGGGGATTGGTGCAAGGATACCCGAGCTTGTCAAACCCACTTTGAAGTGGTCGGAGATCATTGCAGGTTGTGCGTTGTGGGCTCTGGAGGGTGGGCGCCAAGATGCTCGCTCTTCTGCCCTGTATTTGTTCAATTGCAGATGATTGATTGATTCTATGATTCTTAGTAGTAAAGCTATGATACCCTTTCATCTGGCCCGTACAGAAACACCTTGGGCTCGAGACTGAGAACCGCCGAGAACGAGTGTTGGTGCAGATGTGATTTCATCGCCTGTGTCCGAATATGAATGTTTGTGTTGGGGTGCTTTCGTTGCTTGTGGGTTGTGTATGCGAGTGTCTAGATACTGTAACAAAATTGTGAGGCGTGAGCAAAAAGAAAAGTTGGCAGACAGGCTATCCCATCAGTGGAACTGCCTGCTGCTTCTCCAATTCTTCTTCAGCGGGCGTCTTGCTGAGGTTCAAAATGGGGTTGATGCACGTCAACATCAAAACGGCAGCGGATCCGAACAGAGTGGCCAGCAATCCCCATCCAGACGACCATCCCATGCTAGGAACGATTTTGCTGATTGCTGCAAAGATGGGTGCCGAGAGGAGGAATCCAAACCCGTCCAAAAAGCTGATGACCACTGGCTTGTGATCGCCGTATCGTTGTGCAATCATGGCTGGGAACTGAAAGTACTGAAAGGAGATGTTCGAGGCCATGATTCCAGACACCAGCGCCAAGGCAGCAGTCATGGCCCATCGATTGGGGAGAAGTCCCGCTCCCACTTGTGACAAAGCAACCAAGCCCAAGGTTGCCGAGATACAAGCAACGTATCGCTTCTTCAAAAAGTTGCGCTTGTCTTCCAGGGTAGCGCATTTAGCATACTTCTTGGCACCTGAGATGAGACCTTGGATCAACCCAAACGTAATAGTAATGGTTAAACCTCCTGAAATTGCAGGTGGCAAGGACGACATCTCTTGAAAGAATGTGCCGAGAATACGATCTGTTCCACGGCAGACAAAGGACATGGAATGCGCCAGACCCAGCATCAAAAACAGAGGACTGCCTAGGACCGCCTTGAGGGAATGGGCGACACTCTTCCATTCAAAAGGCGGCTTTTGCTTTTGAACCTCTGCTGCAGCCTCTCGCCCCGGTGCTTGAGAGATCAACATAGCCCCTCCAAAGGCCACAAGCGCACCCAGCTGAGCCACTAGGCGCCAGTGGAAGGCACTACTGAGGGTCATTCCAAAAAACTTTGCCAGTAGCTGTCCACTGGTGGAAGACAACCCCAAGGCTGTCAAGGCAGCGGACAACTTGACAGGCTCCTTTGCATAGTAGTTGGAGAGCATGACGGCCAGAGAAGCCCATTGAATGGATGCAAAGAACTCCATGCCTGCAAATGCGTAAGACATGGTTTGGGCATTGGTGGACAATGAGAATGCCAATGAACAGACTCCCAATCCGACCAAATACGCAGAGCTGCAAAAGTACGATCCCAGTTCTTTGCAGATGAATCCATTCACAAACTTCCCCAAGGCACCTCCCAAAGAAGCCACAGAACTGATACTGGCAACTTGAGACGCCACCATGACAGTGGCAGCCTTTGCAGACAGTGACATGGATGTTGCGTGTTCAGTGGCAGCAATGGGTACCAGGAGCACAGGCAAAGACAGAGCCATGACATTGCACAGGTAAGAGACAAAAACAATGCCGTCGATGCGCTTGAGGAAATGCTTCTTCTTCTTCTCCACAGCGGCATCTGGTGCTTCCGGGAAAACGGCATCCATAACTTCTTCTTCCACTAGAGTAGCAGTCATGGTACTGTTTTCTCCCCTGGGAAAGAGTCTTGGCCCCGTCGTAGCAACACTGCTCTGTTTGAGGGGCCGCCATCGTCTTTCCCGTTGAGTGGTCAATGCACGCAGTCGTGCTCCTCCACGCAACTCTTCCGAAGCCCCGGGGCTTCCTCCTCTTGGAATAGAGGATACCCGAGCAGAGGAGAAAGCTTCCGTGGCAACCGCAGGGCACAGGAACAACAGTGCCAGAACCGTCATGACCTTATGGTGTGAATAATAATCCATCGTGGCTTTCATTGTTTCTTTCTTGTTCTCTTGCAGAACTCTGTTAAAAGAATTCAAAGATATGTTTTATTACGCGGTGACAAGGAGCTTCACTCAGCTCACTTCAGACAGACTACCTAGAAAAATAATGCGGAAGCGGAGTTGACGTTGACAAGACTCGACTCTCTATTCAGATACGGTAGATCAATCAATCAACCAGATGGTGACATTCTGCTTTGGCAATGGATCTGCTAGCTAGCCAGCTAGCTCCCTGTAGCCATCTTGATTTGGTGTCGGTGCTGTCGATGTCATCGTTCCTGCAGGACCAGAACAATGACAAGCGGCTAGTTGGAGTGGGCGTTGCAGGTGGATTTTGCTCCACGTCATGCTGAGCTCTTTCTGAGAACTGATTGCCTTTTACAGCGGTGCAGCTCAAGCTGCGAAGACACCATGTGAGCTTCCGCGGAAATACGGAATATCTCTCGAATACACATGACATGCAACTAACTGAAGCTAACAACTTTTTGAACGTGTACCAGGTAGTCTAATCAATTGCTTGATTGTCTTTGCAGCAGAAGAAGCCATGGGGTAAAGTGTGAAGACAGATGTTACTAGTACCATCTATTAGTGTCTACCATTGTAGTAGGTAGACGAACACAATGGTCTGGCGTTGGGCGTGGAGCGAGTTAGTCCAGTTTTGGGGTCTGGAGTGGGTCCTGGTGCTGGCCCTGGAGCACTAGGTCCGGGGTTCAATCCAAGTCAGGAACCTGATATTTTGCCTTGAGTGGGTACTGTAAATTGATCATGGGTACGGTAGGACTTTGCACTTTGCGTGGGAACATGTGTGGCCCTCAGAAAGGGACCAGGTGTGGGACTTGGAGCGGGTCCAGGAGTACGGGAGTTGGCACTGAAGCAAGTCCAGCATTGGAGACCTGGAGTGGAACCAGTGGGGCCTGAAAATGTGCCAGATGTGGGACTTGGAGTGGATCCTCAACCTGGTTCTTGAATTTGTCCAGGATTGGGGCTTGCAGTGTCGTGGGGTTTAGAGCGAGTGGTTGCTGCCTGGAAGGCACGAGGGGACTGGAGATGGACCTAGTGTGGGGCTTGGCGTGGATCATCATACTGGTCCTGTAATTGGTCCAGCATTTGAGGTTAGAGTGGTTCCTGAAAAGGATTTGGTACCAGAAGTTGGTTTGGGAGTTTGTCCAGGCCTTGGGAACCCTGGTTTGGGGCGGTCGTGGTGTTGGGTGTTGGCCTGCGAGTTGTCCCTTCTTTTTGAACAGCATAGTATTGGTTCTGTGTTGATGCAATGTGGTAAGACCTGGTGTTTGCATGAAGATGCAGCTCAAAGTGTTTGACGACGTGTAGCATCGTCCGGGTTTTAAGGGGTTCTGTCTTCTACAGTGCTAAGGTTTTCTAAAATGCAACAAATACTGCTTAGTAAGCCAACATTAGTAACTACAAAGGCTTAGATCTCAACACATTGAAAAGATAATGCTTGGAGTTGTGCCCTGGCGGTAGCAAGACACTGGAGCTGAGGCTTGAAGGTGATTCTTTGGTGCCAAGCTTCTGACATGAAAGCACAACTCAATCGAACGATAGTCCCTCTTGTTTATATAACCTGTTTGACGAAGACCTGGAAAGGAACCCTCTTTATTTAGACGACAGAAGCTTTGGCGGACCTACTCTTGCGGAAGAGTCCCCAACTTTTCCTTTTCTTCTTTCCATCCTTGTTTTTGGCCGCCTTGGCCGCCTTGGCAGCTTGGAGGCTGTTGGTGGGGGTGCTTTTGTTGAGCGTGTTTGTGGATGCCTGCATGGCATTGGCAGGAGGCAAGACCGGTTCCGACTGAGTCATCCTGGGTGCTTCATTGTTGCTGATTTCCAAAGGAGTTCCGGTTTCTTCGGCCTTGGCAACAGCCTCCTCGGTGACTTCGGCATCTCCTGATTGGGCCACATCCCCTCCCTGAGCAGCACCCTCTGTTGGAGCTGCTGTCTCTTCCTCCTTAGTTGATTCCTTGAGCTCAGAAGGAGGATCAGGCCTTTCAATGGCAACCTCCATGGCAGCGGGGTTGCTGTCATCGCTGCACGATTCAGTGTCGGCAGTTTCGACAATTGGGGTATCCTTCACCGGTGTCGTCGTCGATGTTGCGTTTTCAATGACGCTCAAGGACTTGATTCTCTCCATTTCGGACTCATCAATATCTTCCAGATCAGTGAAGCAAAAGGCACGTTCCAGCCCCCCGCAAAACTTTAGGAAACCCTGGGCCACATCATCGTCCGTGTCGGCACACTGTGCCTGATCACAGTCTCTCGTCTTCATGGCTCCACATGGAACATCAGTAAACAGCAAGGTACGTTCCACCTCACGTACTACAGGACCAATGGTCTCGTCGGCTAAGATGGTATCTCTCATCGAATTCGTCATCGTGATGATGGTGTATGTTCCGCGCTATCAGGAGGGGAAACCGAATTATCTAAAAATGCTAACAAGCTACACAATGCAATGAGGATGGACAACTAACTTTTGCGGCAATCCTCTGAAGGCTCGGTTGATGAGGTGGTTCGCTTTTTATGGCGGCCGATCAAGCCTTTGCTGCTTCCTACATAGACTTATCCTCACGATTTTTGGCAATGGCGCACCGCAAACTATGCCAACGAACGTGCGAGTTGATCTTCTCGACAAGAAAGATGAGGCTGTATTGAACACCCCCAAATTTGGCTTCTCATTCTTGTTTTGTTTTCGTCGGCCATCCTCTTTGGGTACCGAAAGGTGCCCTATTTAAGGAGATGGTACTTAACAAGTCTTGGAAAATGGCTCTCACGCAAGACTCAACAGCATAAAGAGCGGCGACCAACCTCTGGCCACAGAACTCAGGGACCTCAACAAAAAAGCCGAACCCAAGGTGCGCTCTTGCATTTCTTCAAAACCTAACGGCACCACTCCGATCCCATAAAATAACCCACAGCAGTTGCAGGACCATTGAAGATGTGGGCATCATTGTATGGTCTACCCTCTCTAAGATCTGAAAAAATCGTGACAACTCTTCATCTGTTGGAGTAGCTAGTATGATAGTCTTTTTATTTAGTAACCGTCATGTAGCTGTGGTTTGCTTCTCTGGAGGTGCCATCGGCAACATGAATGTCAGAGCTGTTCTATTGTAGTATGTGACAACTCTGGAGCCGTGGGAAGAGGCTTGGCCCTGTCTTGATTTAAAGATTCTTGCTACTGCTACATAACATCCAGTTCAATTGGGTGCGCGGCCTCCCCCGTCTACGGTACTATCATATGTTTATCCTAACACGTGAAGCAAAGCAAGCTTTCCAAGTCACGACCTATCTCCGTCTCCATAATACTAGCGCTGTTTCGGAACGAGCTTGCTCCTTGCTAAGTAGTTGAATGCCACACCGGTGCGTACCATGGTAGATTCTAAGATCGGATGGGTGCACAGCAGTGAAACATTTCGCAGGGGTAAACTAGTCAGTCATACGGTACGGAGTACTAGTCTAGTAGTCTGTTGGTTTCTTACCTGTGCCATGATTTCTATAGTTTTTTCTGAACAGTTTTACAGTAGCATAGCTATTCCTTGATTGCTTCGGTTCATTCGAATGATTCTATTTGCTACGCCCCTTGCCTTTATTGTAGTACCCTCTGGGAGCTCAATACCAGTGACGTCGTCCCTCTCCAACTACTTGTGCCTTGTCGCTCGTTGCCCAACCGCGTTCGAGGGACGTCTTTTTCTCCTGTTTGCTTTCTCACGACGACGACGACGACGACGACGACTCGGAGAACAAGCACACCATGACCTTGTTCCCATTGACGACAATGCTGGGGTGCTGCGCGTGATCCTCCAATGCCGCCGCAACCACGCCAACGGCTCGTGCTTCTCTCATAATGTTGTGAAAGGCTCGTCGAGTGGCTAGATTGCCCAAAAGTCCACAACCCGCCACTTGAATCTCCGTGGCCGTGGAAAAGTCCTTCATGGTCTGTACGACTCGCGCAATGCCATCCAATTCCAGAACGAATCGTTGCATCGACCGTCCCAGCATGTCGTCGTCATCTTCACCTCCACC